AACATGCTTGAGTAGAATTAATCAATGTCAACGTCTCTTAATTGTTCTTGTTTAGATACAAAACAGTAATCTCTCGGGAATAAAACTAGTTTTCATTTCCGGGAGCTTCAGATTTAAGTGGATGTTCTTGTTTGTTTGATCAATAAAAGCTCTGAATACTGGACATTGTTATTGGTATGTTATCGTATATGATTTAACTTTTCTCTTTAAGAAGCGACGTGTAGTGGGAAAAAGGGTTCAGAATTAAGCAGCTTGCAAAGGAGTCACTGCAAATTATTCTTTTATCCAATTTTTCATGTTTTCGTCCGAACAAGGTATGCATTGAATTGAATGCTACATAAACAATAGCCTTCATTTGGCCGGAAAATATGCTTGGGATATTTGTCTGCGGACATTTTTCCAAGAGCGTTGTTCGAGGAAAACTGTGAGCTTCGGGAACAGTTATGAGAAATATCCTGGTCTACCCGACTGTTTTGGAAAATGACGCGTGCGTTTAGAACTTAATTCCCATCTTAGCCTAAACAGCCATGCCAGCAATTCTCTTACATGTATAGCTGTCCTTTATAAAGGGGAACGCTTCTCGGCCAACGGCTGATGTCTCGGTCTCTGCAGAACCACTGGAGTGCCCAGCTATGTTAACATGTTCTTTAAATTAACGGACCTGTCAACTGATAATTGTCGCAACCGTCAATTATGTTTGGTATGTTGCAGAGTTAGCGCAGTTTCTGAACTTTTCACTCAAGTCCAAAACTTGTTCCAAAGTTCAGGACGTTGGACAGTGAAACCCAGAGCCCAACATTTGCTACCCCAAGCCCGACATCTGAGCGCACATGCATATGCGCGTGTGAAGGACCATGATCTTTCTACCATTTGTAATGTCGTAACTCTTTAAAGATCGGGGTGTTTCTAACAATCAATGCATTTAAAAGGAAGAAATATTTTACAGTTTTCCTGAAGGAGCCATTGGATGACTTTTGTATTGCCAGACAATAAACCTGGTAAAATTGGACCTCGCTCCAACTTCTTGAATTTTATAATTTTCCCCAATTTTCACGGTAACTGATCTTGCCAACCATCCTTCTTTATCTGACTAATTTCAGTGGGTCACAAAGGATTCACAGAACTTGAAAGGTGTTCATAGTGAACTAGTGAGAAGAGCACAGTAATGGATCATCAATAGCTTTTTTAATGCTAAATCCCCCCCTCCCCTTCTACTGCCCCGCCCCTCAAGCAAAATTCAAATCAACCTCGCACATTTAGTTACGCGTAATTTTAGTCATATCCTCCAAGTGCGTTTCTGAGTATATTTTTGGTTCACATATTAACTGGAAAGCAATTTTCTTTGTTTACAATAGATTAAAACGAGTCAGTCAGTTTCTTTTAGGTGTCTTGATAAACATCGGGATGAACTCTGCATGTATGGCTATTGTATAATATTCAGTAATGGACAGAAAAATAAATAAAACTGAAATAAATAAAACAGAAAGGGCAGTTGTTGTTTGCTGCTCTTGGTCACAGGCTCATTCTTGTGATTAAAAAGAAAAAACTAAAAGATAATGCCATTCTGAGAACAGCATTTGTTAAACTTTAAGGAGTACTGGGTCCCAAAAGGCATACGTAACGCCCTCAATGATTCATGAAGTTGCCTCGCAAGCGTAGGCTCTGGACTCCAAACACTCTCTTTAGCAACATCGTACATTGGCATCCTTATAAAGACTACCTCAGATAATCAACGACATTGAAAGCTACAGAGGATAACAAGTCATATGATGTTAAACAGCACAACACTACCTAGTGAGTCTGCCAAAGACACCAATACAGGACGCAGAATTGCTTAGGTGTAAAGAAAATTGTCTCGTGTCAAAACAGCTTTAAAGCTACGAGCTTGCAACTGCTATCACAACAAGATGCACTTATAATCATTAATTCGACCAACTGATATTTAAATCCGAGTTGAATAAATTCCATTTTCTCAATGTTGGAACTTCTAGCAAATTACTACAAAAATGGCACCTTCGTAACCCGGTTGAACGATAGATAGTGTTGTGGAAAACTGAACATAAAAAAAAATGGAAAGCGGAAAAACTTTGAAACTTTGCTGACACAATGCCAAATGGCAAGCGTACACTTTGAACCTTGTTCCATGTTTTTTCGTCGAATGTCTTGGGCGCAGTGACGTTTGCAAGTTCACAATGACAACTTTGGTCGAAAACTGAAATCCAAAACTTGACTCGACATGAAAGTTCATATCATTACAGCCTGTTTTCTTAGAATGTTCACAAAACCACTCTTAAAATTAATGGGGTAAGAGAGGGAATACACAGGTATATATTGGCCTTGTATATATCCGTTTCCGCGAAATAAAATTTGGATTTTAACTTTTTTTAAGACCGTTACCCTGACAGGTGGCACATTTGAACCCTTTTGAGGTTAAAACAGCTGTCAAAAGTCGGCCATTAGATCTAATTAAGCCAAATTAACAGGAGAGCTTCCTCACACTCTACTAAAGCTTGAAATGTAATCAGTTTTTGATTGAAAGTGTCGACAATTAAATTATATTGATGGAGATGAAAGGTTACAAAAGTGGTGAACTTTACATCAAGAGAGAGAGAGAGAGAGAGAGAGAGAAATAAGAACATTCTACTGACAACAATCATTCACTTGACTCTGATGATGACTTCCGCATGAAGAGATCGTCAATAAAATATTTTATCTCGAGCTAAAAACATAACAAAAGCAAGATGGCCGCTAAAAAAAAAAAAAAATGACCGAAGCCCGCGGTCCTCAGCGGCTTAACCACAAAGGGCAGGAAAACAATTGATATTTGAACGAATCCTTCTTTAACAACTACGAGTGTCCTGATTGGACAAAAATCCGTCTATTGCGCTGCTTAACCCAAAGAAAATGGAAGTGTAGCTTATAAATGTAACAGACCACTTTTTCCGTCGGTTTACAAGCGAAATCGCCCAGTCGGGATTGTGGAAGAACACTCACAAATTTTGCAAACCACTCGCTTCAGGTTCAACATTTACAAACGTTTCTCGTGTTCTCACAACATCCTGCGTGGGTTATTGAGCCAGCAAATTTATGGAAAGTGCGGTTTACTGCTTAAGAAGTCATCAATACACTCAGTGTTGATCTGCTGCAACTTTTCTTCTCTTACCTTCAACTGCTGTCCATGAACAACGATGGCTTTAGCTTGCCTTGGATCAACCTCCTCTATTGGGATGTTCAGACGATTAGCAATATCTTCAATAGTCTCAGTTCCTGGAAGACAAAGAATGCTTGGTGGTTAGAACTCTATCCAAACGACTATCATAAACACAATTTTTTTTTTGCTTCCTGCCTTGACGATACGAGTAACAGCCTACAATAAGAAAGATGGTAAATTTTGAATAAAGGCCGATAGTTTCTAAAGAAACTGTTTGGGGCTGCGTCGGTGGGGGTAACGAAATAAATTGAATATATCAACAAAGTTGAAATAGTAAATTGGCCACAGTTTCGATTTTTAAAGCTGACGTTTCGAACGAACGCTTTTCATTCCACTAATTTATTCCTGTTTTTCTCGTTGCCATGCTCCCACCAATCACGTAGCTCCTTTTTCTGCCTTTAAAAGCGCATACAACACACAATTCCCCTTTTCGCTACGACGAAGGGCTAACGCTCGAAACGTCAGCTTTTATAATCGTAACGGCGGCCAATTTACCATTTCAACTTTGTTGATATATTCAAATTATTTGGTAAATTTTGAGCTTAGTAAAGAAAGAGCGAAAGATGGTTTTCGTCTTTTCACGAGCGTAGAACCAAGGAAAAAAGGAGGAGAAAAGTGCATTCAATACTAGAGAACTGCGTGCCGAACTACAACAAACACACCAGACAGTTTCAACACAGGATTACTCAACGAGTCGGGTTTATGTGACTTAAGTTCTCTACAGAAGAGCATCTTTTACCACACAGTTACCTTCTGAGATAATTCCAACTCCTTTGGCGATGGCCTTAGCTGTGATTGGATGGTCACCTGTCACCATGATAACTTTGATTCCTGCACTGCGGCATTTGCTGACGGCATCGGGAACAGCAGCGCGTGGAGGATCAATCATGGACATTAAGCCAACAAAGCACAGGTTTTCAAGAGGGAAGTTGACGGGCTGAGTTGAAAAGAGATAGAAGAAATTACTTTCAGACATCATACTACACATACAGTAGAACCCTGCTAACTTGATACCCCTGCTAACCCGAACAAGATCTGATTTGCGTCGGATTTGACCGCGTGACGCGTGATCCTAGTCAGTAACTATCAACTGACTCGAACCTGATTAAAACTTTAACAACTAAGAGTGACTGGCATCTAACTTCTTCTTACAATATTATGCCTGAATCACACATTTAGGTCACGAGAATAAAGGAAATGATCACCAACTAAACAAGTTCTTGATTGTTAAACAAAATTTCCTATAGAGAATATGCATATTGACGTTAGGGTGCAAACTGTTAACTCAGAATCCTTGTCAACTCAAACTAACTTCACTTTCCCTTAGCTTAGATTGACCATGAGAACTTCAAATTTTAATTAAAAAATGTCCAGCGATAAATGTCAAAGTGTCAAAACAAAGATCGACGAGTCCCGTTCTTGAGTCCGATTGATACCAATGGGATAACAGTTGACTTCCAAGATCTGATTATTAATTCACTGCCCTGGCTGCTACTTACTTCCTTGTAAGTTAGTTTTGACAATTTTGCATTAGCGTTTAATCAAGTTAACAACCCGTACCTGATAAGCGAGTATTCTCATTACCTGTTTGCTGGATAATATATGAATATCATAGCGAGAAGTTACAAGTTAATCACTTCTGGGAGCTAAAGGGTGAACCTTAACTTCCCAAACTAAACGTTCATCGAAATGCAGTCCGCGCATCTGTGCAGAAATCATAAGCACTGGTATTTACCTCATCTGTGTTGAATTCAAATCCTGGAGGGAACTCTTCCAAGGGCAAAAAGAAATGGCAGAAACCAAGCACACGTTCACCCATGCCTCCCAGCTCGAGATAAGCAGCATTGAAAGCTTCCTGCATCTTCTCGTCAAGAGCGACTTCTTCGCCGTTCATCAAAATTGTCGAGCAACGGTCTAGGATTCTCTCGGGAGCACCCTTCATCACAAGAATATGGCGCTTGTCATCTGGATCTGGGTTTTCATGAATGGAGACTTGATACTTGTTGGTGGAGTTGAATGGAATCTCAGCAACCTTGGGGTGTTTATCCCTCATTTCCTTCACGCTGCCCTCTGACAGCTCCACATACTTCATCAGGGCAGATTCTGAGGCATCTCCGGAGCAATCCCTGTAAGAAAACACTCCAGTCAGACAGAGCTGAATAACGTATACGCATGCGCCAGGTTTTGCCGAGAGAAGAGAGAGAGAGAGAGAAGAGAGAGAGAGAAGAGAGAGAGAAGAGAGAGAGAAAAGAGAGAGAAGAGAAAGGGAGAAGAGAAAGGGAGAAGAGAGAGAGAGAAGAGAGGGAGAGAGGAGAGAGAAGAGAGAGAGAGAAGAGAGAGAGGAGAGAGAGAGAGAGAGAGAGAGAGA